TGTTTCACCTCAGTTTTCCCACCTGTAGAATAGGATTATAGCCACACCCACCTCTCGGGGTTGTTGTGAGATTTTTAAAAGCTGATATGTGTGATGTCTGGCTGTTATTTATTACATATCAAACACCTTCCAGACTCCAGACACTGTTGAGGTCAGAAGTCAGAAAACTTTTTCTATAAGGTCCAGATAATAAATATTTTTGGTTTTGTGGGCCATAATATCTCTGTCACAACTATTCAACTCTGCTGTCGTAGCCCAAGGGCAGCCACAGACAATCCACAAACGAATGAGAGTGGCTGTGGTCCAATGAAACTTTATGGACATGGAAATTTGAATTTCATATAAACTCACTACACTAAATATTATTCTTCTTTTGGTTTTTTTAATTATTAAAAAAAGAAAAAATTACTCTTAGCTTACAGGCTGTATAAAATTAGGTGGGGGGCTGGATTTGGCCCATATTTCACCTATCATAGTCTACGGGTTGGAGATGCAGATGCTGACTTGTCTGTAGAAGGAGCCTCCCTGGGGTCTCCCGGAGCCTGGGAAGCCAGCAGGCTCCTTCATGGCTCTCATGCTACTTTGCCCCCCACAAAGGTCTCTGATCTTGTCTAAAAGCCCCTCTTGAAACAGTGGCAGTGAGACTCCGATCAGACCAAGGTTACGGATGGCACCTCAGTTCCAAACCCTGGCATTCTGAGCTCTAATTCCTCTGAGATCAATCTCAAAGATTATGGAGATCCAACGCACAAGTCCAACAGTCCCCAGTCCGCCGTGCTGGAGGAGTTCCAACCTCACATCAGGACTGGAACAGAGACCCTGCTGGTAGAAAGCCTTGCTGAGCGGGGAGTTTAGAGGTTATCTGGGTTGTTTGTTGAACATTTGTTTCTTTCTGAGGGGAAAAGCCAGAGCAGATGGAAGGATGACAGGATAGGGGTTCCTGGACAAGAAGCAGCCCCCATCTGGATGTTTGGGGCAGCCTCTCTGGAAGGCACTAATGGTCAATGAGGTTCACCTGGGGAAATGGCCTTGGCCTGCCCAGACCCTCAGGACTTCACACCAGTCTGCCCCAGTCATTTCGCCACTGGTCCCCCAGCCTTGCCTCTCCCTGCTCCAACGCCTGCACCCCACCTCTGAGCGATCTTCCCGCACGACGCTTTCGTCATATCATCCCCTTCAAGGCACCATGGAGGACCCCCAATTTCCTCCCCAGCAAATCTAAATCCTTCTACCTGGTTTCTAAGGGCCCCACACTCAGGCGCCAGACTGACCCTCTCCCAACCCACGCAGGGGACGTCCTGTGACACCCCATCCTATGCCATCCTCCACACCTGTGTGTGCCCTGCATCCCAGAAGCCCCCACTCCCATCCTCTGCCACACCTGGCCACGTCCAGCCTTGACCCTTGCATGAAAAGAGCTTGTGATGGGGTCACAGAGGAGTGATTTAATCGTACCTCAGTTTCCTTATCTGTAAAATGGGGGAAACAAGAGCACCCACCTCACGGAGGGGCTGAGGTTTAACTAGAACATGCATGTCAAGCATTCCCTGAGTGGTGCCAGAGGCGCCACCAGGTTCAGACACGGCACCGGCCAGCAGCAGCAGCAGCAAGCCCTGTCTGACTCCAGAATACATTCACCTCTTCCCTCTTTCAGTCTTTCAATTTACCATTTGAATGACACGATGACCATGAAAGGCTTCCTGGATAGGTGTCCCGTCTCCCCATTTAGGCTGCCAACCTATAAACCTTCTGTACTGCACACCTTACACATTTCCTCGGCTCCCACGGCGCCTCTGCTTCTCACAGCCCTGGGTCTGGACTGTTATTTCTTTTCGTCAATTGATTGAAACACTGCCACATGCTCCTGAGCCCTTTTTTTTGTAAGGGGCTCCCGGGGGAAGACTGAAGACAAACCAATTTTCTAATACAGCCCTCCGACAGGCTGAGAATCTGATCAGTAAAGAGTTGGCCTGGAGATGCTCAGCATCATCACATATTTAAATAACAAAAAAGAACAGGCTTTCGTCACAATGACCCTCTGGGCAGCAGCTGAGCTGTAAGTGGACAGGAGAGTGCCATCTGTGGGAGCTGGCTTCCGCCAAACCCTGTCTATCGCTTGAGGAAGAGGCCTTCCAGGAAAGCCCCAGAAGTCCACGGCATGGCAGGCCCTGCCTGCTGTTTCCATGAGCCCCAAGAATCCAGGCTCCCCACCCGGAGCCCCCAAAGGTGTGGCCAAAGGTTAATGGGCTCCAAAGGGAGGACAGGAGGCATATAAGGGCCCTTCAGACCAGCCAGACACAGAGGACAAGCAGAGAGAGACCCCGCCCAACCCACGCAGACCACGTTCTCGCTGTGAGTAGCCATAGAAGACAGTGGGTGGAGAGGAGTCAGCATGAGCCCTAGGGCAGAAGGGTGGTGTGAGCTGAGCAGCCCAGCCCAGAGGTGAGCTGGGGTGAGGTGACCCACTCCTGGGCCCCTCTGCCACCTTCAGATACCTAGCTGGGCTTCAGACTGAGAGCCCCCAGCTAATTTCCAGAGTGTGGGATAAAGTGGCACAGAGTGAGCAGTAGCAGAGATGCCCCGAGGCACAGAGGCTGGAGGGAGCAGCAGGGGTTGCAGTTCCTGGCAAAAGAGAGGCTGTTTGGGGTGGGTGGGGTCATCGACTGCAGGCCAGGAACCCAGGCCAGAGCTCTGCATGGACGCAGGACCCCGCTGGGCACAGAAGCTTTGCTCTGGGAAGTTAAGGAGAAAAGCTGGTCCCTAGGGAGAGGACATGGCCAGGCAAGACGAGCACGGCCTGGTGCCACCACGGGAGGAGCGGGGAGGAGACAGGAGCCCCTCATCCAGAGCTGAGCACCTGAGGGCTGGAGCCCGTCCTGACGACGGGAAGGGAAGTCAGCACCCCACCATACATGAAAAGTCTCTCTCCCACTCGAGCTCCCCGAACACAAAGGAATGTCGGTGACAGGCCGACTGCCAGTTGGATCAAGAAAATGAGCAGCAATTGGATTTTGCCTTTTTCTATTCAAAGTTTTTATTGATTCTTATGGAGTGAATTAAATGCGAACAGCAGAATGAAAAGGGCTCTATAGCACCTCCTTGAAGGAAATGGGACGCTGTAAATGTGACACATCCGCCTCCACTGGGAGGGAGCGCGGGCCCGAGATGCGGTGGGGAAAGGATGGGAACGGAGGGGAGGAACAGGATTTGGAGCTCCCACCCCCACCTGCCCTCTGTTCCCTAAAGAGCCTCCTGGGGCTGGGGGCTTGGGGCTGGGGCTCAGTACAGGGCCTCGGCCTCCCAGGGTGGTCTTCTGTGAGTGGGTGGTCCTTCCCACCCTCCTGGGAATTTGTAAGCAGCTGGCACGGGAGACTTCGGCTGTCTGAGCTCTCGTGTTCTTGCTCATGGAGTCTTTGCAAGATGGAGAGAGAAATTAGGACAGGTCAGCAGAGTCACAAGAAGGCAGAGAGAGTGTTGTGCTGAAAGGAGGTGGCTTCAGATGACCGAGGGACAAGTCCTAGCAGAGAGGCAAGACACAAGCCTTGGAAGATTCTGTCCAAAAGGTGAGTTGGGTTGCACCTGCAGAGAAGCCTTGAGGCCCACTCAGGGCAGGATCCTCTCTGACCAACAGAATCCAGGCTGGCCCAGGGCTGTGGGAGCCCCGAGTTGACCCCCGGAAGCTCTTTATCTGGAACCCTGTAGTCACCCCCACCCCGCTGCAGCAGAGGCTGCCCCGGTCTCCCCTCTCTGCTCTGGGGATCTGGTCCCTGTGCTCCGCAGCCCGCCCAGCACAGGAATGTTGGCACCCAAGATACATTCAGCAGGCCTGCCCCCTGCGATGCCCTTCTCCGCCTTCTGTGAGCAGAGGCAGTGTGGAGTGGGGTACTGGGATAAACAACAGGCCTCAGGAGGAGGCTTCCAGCCCCTACTGCCTTTGAATGAGCCCCTTCACCTCCCCAGGTCTCCTCCCCTCCCCACATTGCACCTGCTCCCAGGTGGGCCTGAGGGTCGTGGGAGGGGGCTTGGAATGGATGCCATGCACTGGTGTAAGGAAACAGCTGAGGCTGGCACCCAGCAAGCAGCACCCCCTCCTCACAGGACCATCCTGAGCCTGCCCAAAGTCTGCCCAGCTGACCCCCTTTCTCAAGCCTCTGCACCCCTACAGTCACCACACCCACCTGTTCCCCGGCAGGTCTCCGCAGCCCACCTTCCCACCAGCCACACCCACTTCCTGGGATGCAGGAGGGCCCCCCTCACCCCACCAGCACTCATGGCATTCTGAGGGGTGTGCGGTGGGCTGGCAGGGAGGAGGTGCCCTCCCTGTTGTTTCTAGATGGTGGCCGACAGGCAGCTAGACTCACTGGAGCTGGGGTGGGGCTTGTTCCAGGGCCGGTGCTGGCCCCAGCGGGGAGGAGACCCTCTCCCAGCTGTTGGATGCTACTGAACTTGTCCATCTAGCTCTGTCTCCACGTGGGCAGAGGGTCTCAGCCTGTTTCTCTCTAGACCCGGGGTCTTGGCCTAGTGCTCCCAAGTAGAGCCTGGGCCATCTGGGCCTGGGCCCATGCCTTTTGTCACCCTAATTGCTTCAGGGAGCAGGGAGGGCTCCCTGGGCATAGTTCTGTTGATAATCTAGGAGTTTTTTCTCTGAGACATGAGGTCCTTCTCACTTCATGAGCCCAGCTGACCCCAGAAGACCTTGCCTGTAACAAAGAGAAGGGCCAACAAGTGGAATGATTCTTCCCCAGGATGTGGCAGGAGGCTGGGTGGCCTCTCCCAGGTGCTTGGTTAGCTCTCAAGGCTCTGGGGCAGAGAGGAGCCTCTGAGCTCATCTGGTAAAGCCCCATACCAAGCCCAAGTCCAGAGAGGCTAAGCGGCTTGCTCAAGATCACACAGCTACAGGCGGGGCGTGGGTCAGAGCTGAGGGCTCCTGCCTCCAATACAGCAGTCCGTCACTGCACCCTGACCTTGGTGACAGGAGCTCCTTGTCCTTGCCCAGCTCCAGGATGGTGTCCCGCAAGGCCGTGGCTGCCCTGCTGGTGGTGCACGCGGCCGCCATGCTGGCCTCCCAGACAGAAGCCGTTGTTCCCATCTTCACCTACAGTGAACTCAAGAAGATGCAGGTAAGAATCCCACAGGCTGCCCGCCTCCCCAGCACAGCCGAGGTGACACAGCCCTGTCCAGCACTGGAGTGGTGTTAGTCTATCTAAGGTACAAGTGTCCCTTTGGTAAACCCATGTTTAATCAACTCTGCTGGTGACACCAGGGAGACCATGAAGGACAAGGACCCACGATAACCCCAAACTCCAGCCATCTCCCTGGCACCTCTGCTCCTTCACTAGCATCACCAAGGTGTCAGTGGCTCCCACGAGCAACATCCTGTCCCACCTCACCCATCCTTCAGAGGAAATTTTCAGTTAACAAGCCAATAAATATTTGTTGAGCATCTCTCTAGAACGAAGGGCCGCCGGGAGTGAGAGGCCAGACATGCAGGGCCATCTAAGAAGCACCCGTCTTCAAGGAGCAGGCTCGGGAGCAAGACACAAACAGATGAAAAATTCCCTAACAATAGAAGATAAAAGGGAGATGTCACAAGGCAGGACATGATTAATTGTCCAATAAGTGATGCTGATGGTAAGAGCTGAGCTCCGGGAGGGAGAAATCACCGTGGGCTGGCGCGCGTTCGGAAGCCTGCAGGAAAGAGGTGAGAGCTGAGCTGGGGGCCTTGGGAGAGAGGGAAACAGGAATTGGTGGGAGCAAAGGTCCAGAATGGGAAAGAAGTGGCTTTCCATGTAGTGGTGGCCAACGCCTCCTTCTCTTGAGCTCAGAAGAAAACAAGGCAGGCTTAATGGAACTCAGGCAGCGGGGCATAAGAAAAACTGGACAGCTGGACGTGCCTCCTTGCACCTTTCACTTTAGACATCAAGGGATCCTGAGTGTCTTGTGCAGACATTTGTTTCTCTTTAACCGAGGAGATGAAGAAATGGGACTTTCATCTCCCACCTGTCTCAAAACGAGGATCCGACAGGGACAAAGACACAAGTCAGTTCTCTGGGAGGTCGCGTGGCCCTGTGTGCATCCCTGTATCTACACACTCTGTCCCGGGCTGGCTTCCACAGACCCAGTGAACAGTGTCCCTTGCAGAGACAAGGCTGGACGCAGCTCCCCTCTTCAGGGACAGATATGGAAACTGAGAGGGGAGATGCAGAGGGCCCTGAACACACCTTCCTCCATCCCTGGCTCCCTCTCCCAAAGAGATGACCAATTGTTCTAGAATCACTGCGTCTTGGGGGAGGCTTAGGCTGACTCTCAAGAGTGTCATTAGAGAAACCAAAGGAATGGGGTGTGTCTGATCTGGGTGTTCGGGGACCTGGCAAGCAGGAAGCCAGGCCGGATTTGGGACTGGACAGAAGCAGTCAAACCCAGTGGAACATCAACTAGCAAAATGGCAACCAAAGCACCCTTCGCATCAATCTGCTCTGTGGTTTTTCTCCTCGTAATTCCCAGGCGCCGGGATTTTTACGAAGAACCTGCAAACTCCTGCCTCCGTAATTCATCTCCCTGTCTTGCCTCTTATAAATCACCGCCCAGGGACTCCAGTTTCCGGGCCACCCCATGGCACCCTCGCAGACTCAGCTGTCTTGCCACGTTTTTTTTTATAGGCTCTTTGCTGAGAAAAACACATTTTCACACTTAATACGCATGAAGGGCGGCCATTATTTTCAGCATTTTAACTTAATTAACAGTAGCAATCGGAGCGCAAGGTTTGAACTGCAAAGGCATGAGTTCCTCTTCAAGCTGACCTGTTGGTGGGCAACGCTGGGGCTGTTCTCAAGCCACTGGGCGTCTGAGGCTCCTTGTGCAGGACGCACCTGGGAGAAGGGGGTCTTTTGGCCTGTGGGGGGCTCGGGCCACTTAGCACCCTGGGCAGAGACAGGCACAGGGCCATCGGGCAGTCAAGGGAGGGCGGGTTTTGGGCAATTTTGTGCTCTGCCCCCAGGAAAAGGAGCGGAATAAAAGGCAAAAGAAATCCACGAGCGTACAGCAGATGTCTGAGGAGGCGGGCCTTCTGGACCCCGCAGAGGCTGCAGGGGAAGAAAGAAACCAAATTATCAAGGTGAGCAGACGGGGGGACAATGCAGGGAAACTTAGTCAGGGGATGGTTCCCTTGGCCAGCCACAGAACCTTCTAGGATACAGCTGTGAGCAGGATATTCAGCCAACGAGCTCCATCCTGGGAGGGAGAGACAGACACCGATGATGAGACAACAAATCATTTTAGGCCCCAATAAGGAGGTATGAAAGAGAGGGACAGGGTGGAGACTGGGGGCACTGCTTTGGCTAGCCAAGGGGTCCGGGAAGGCTTCTCAGAGGAGGTGACATTTGATTTGAAACCTGAATGATGAGAAGGAGCCACCCATGCAAAGAGCTAAGCAAGAACATCCGAAGAAGGAATAGCAAGTGCAAAGGCCCTGTTCAGGAAGCATCTGGTTGGTTGGAGGCCCTCAAGGCCAGGGCAGGCTGGGAGAGGGCAAGAGGTCGGCAGGGCTGGGGGGCCAGGCAAGACATCCAGGAGGCCACTGGGGTTCCAAGCAGGGAAGTCACCTGATCCGACCTAGAAAGATCCAGGGCAGCAAGAGTGGAGGCAGGAGAACAGTCAGAAGGAAGCTTCAGTCCTCAGGAGAGAGACAACCAGGCTGCCAGTTCCTCCCCCGGACAGGAGCCCAGGAGACGCTGCAGCATCAGGACCAGGGCTGGGGCCATCAGTGCCCATTAGGATACACAGGCTGTGGGGGCTGCAGAGAGCCCTGAGTTTGTCCGGAACAGCTATGAAATTTCACAGACGTGTTTATTCAGGCATGAACACCTGCTTGGCCCCTGCTCCCTGTGAGGCACGGTTCTAGGCCCTGGGGATAGACTGGTGAACAAAACAGACAAATCCTCTGCCCTCTTGGAGCTCACACTCCAGTGGGGGACCCGAAACAAGATCCTGGAAGGACCAGCAACAGATGACAAACAGGATAAATGAGCAAACTTTACAGTGTGGCAGTAGTGACAGGTGCTAGGGAGGAAAATAAAGCAGGGCAAGGAGATGGGGTGTGTTGTCATTTTAAATAGAGTGAGCAGAGCAGCTGCAAAGACCTGAAGAGAGCCAGGGAGTGAACCATAGGGACATCTGGGGAAAGAGCATCCAGGCAGAAGAAACAGCCAGTGCAAAGGCCCTGAGGCAAGAGTGGGCCTGGTGCATTCTGGGAGCAGTGAGGGAGCTGGAGTGGCTGGAGCAGAGGGCGTCTGGGTGAGCCTGGGTTGTGAGACCAGACTGTGGACTTCAGAGGCCAGTGTTTGGACTTTGCCCTCACTGCTGAGGTGGGAGCCCTTGGGGGCTTTTGAGCAGAGGAAGAACATGATGTGATTTACATTTTAAAAGAGTCTCTCCAGCTTCCATGTTGAGAACAGACTGGAGGGGCAGAGGCAGAATCAGGGAGACCACTGAGGAGGTTGCTGCAGCATCCGAGAGAGAAAGAGTGGCTCAGCCCAGGGTGGTCATGGTGGAGGCAGGGCAAAGTGGTCGGATTCTGGAAACATTTTGGAAGTAGAAGCCCACAGGATTTGCTGAAAGAATGGATATAGGATGTGATGGAAGAGAAAAGTAAAAGCTGAGGTTTTCAAGGTTTGGGCTGGAACACGTGGGAAGATGGATCTGCCACTAACAGAGACAGGGAAGCCTGTGGCTGGCTGCAAGCTGCAGAGGAGGATCAGGAGGTCAGACCAGACTCGTGAATTGTGAGATGCCTGAGCGGCATCCAGGTAGAGACCTTGCGTGGCAGGTAGATACGTGAGTGTGGCCTTCAAGGGAGGTTAGAGCCGGAGACAAACAGGGGCGAGTCATCAGCGGTGAGATGGGTTTTCAAGGTCCCCGAGGGAGCAAGTGGATGGAGAAGGAAGGGCTCCAGGACTGAGCGTGGGGCACCTCCCTGTGAAGGGACCTGGGAGGGGAGGAGACTGATATCTAGAGAGTGACGGTCTGGCCAAGGTCACACAGGGGTCAGGGCAGAACCAAGTGGGACTTGACACCTCCCGCCTCCCACTGGACACTGGCCAGTGATCTTTCCACTCCTTCGGGTCGCCACGGCATGCTGTGCATAAACAGCGAGATCAGAGTGTGGCCCAGAGAGGGACCTCGGTGCTGTCACTGCACTCAGTGGGGGTGGGGGGGAGGCTCCTCTCCTTCCCACATGCTCTTTGGGCTCTCAAGGAGGGAGCCGAGCAGCTGGCAAAGGGGGGGCTCGCTCAGAACTGCCCTCCACACACACCCGAGGCAGAGTTTAAGGCACTAACTCCATGGTACGGGTTACATCCAATGTAACATCCTTCTCGGGGAGGCTGTGGTGCGGTACCTCTCATCCCCTTTCCATCTCCCTAGAACCATGATATATAGGCCAGGAGGTCCTTCTGGATTGTCCAGTCCAGCTTCCTCATTTTCAAGTGAGGACACGGAGGCCGAGAGAGAGGCGTCACCACATCAAGGGAACGGCATACCAGGGCTCAAACCCAGAGCCCCGTGGAGACGTCTCTGTGGTTGCCCTTCAGGCCTCCCGAGCCCGTTTCCCATGCCCAGGGGGCCTGCTGGGCCTGGGACTCCTCTCGGGAGATGCGGGGAGTCTCTGAGTTGTTGACTGGTTTGGGCAAGACCACGAACCAGGAAGCTCTGGGAGTGACAGGGAGGTCAGGCAGTGTCCTGGCTCATCCGCACAACCTCTCCTGGTGGAGAGCCTCTAGACAGCTCCTCTGGGTCTCACTCATGTCCCCATAGTGCTAGACAAAGTGTAGCCTGGTGGTCGCGGGCACAGACCCTGCAGCCGGGTCCCCTGGGTATACCGTCTTCTCCCTCTCCTACTTAATACCTGTGTGGTCTTGAGTAAGTCACTCGACCTCTTTGTCCTCAGTTGCCTCATCTGCAAAATGCGGACACGATAGTCTCCGCATCATAGGGTTATTGAGAGGCTTAATATACATGAAGCATTTAGAGCAACTCCTGGCACGCGGTAAGACTCCACAGGGTTAGCTATTACTATGGTGGGGTGAGTTCCCTCCTCATATGAAGAGCCCGGGGGGTTCCAGCCGACCCCACCCCTCCAGTTCCAGCTTCTCCACCAGGGGAGCTTTGTTGATGTTCCTCCCAGCAGGTCTCAGCGACTTCCAGGATCCAGCCCCCTATTAGAATTGGGGGGAGGTGCCAGAATTCCCAGCTGGCCCGAGAAGCCCAGAGGACCCCAGAGGATCCTGGAGAGTGGGGCCAGCAGGGTGCTGTGGCTCCTGGCGGCCCTCTTGCCACCTGTAGGGCACCCAGGGGTTAACGGTGCTCTCCGCGCCTCTCTCTTCTTGTTAACGCTGCCTTATTTCACAGCTGACTGCTCCTGTGGAAATTGGAATGAGGATGAACTCCAGGCAGCTGGAAAAGTACCGGGCGGCCCTGGAAGGGCTGCTGAGCAAGGTGCTGCTGTCTACAGAGAAGGGTATGAGGAGGGCAAGCGCCTCTGCAGCTGGGGCCTGGCCTCTGCCCACCCCAGTTAATATTCCTGGAGCGTGGCTGAGCAGGGCTTGGGGACGACGTTTGCACTTGAGAACATAAAGCTGTCTTCTGCAAGTGCACCATCCTTCTCCAAGGGGAGCCCAGTCACGGAGTAGGGTGGGCTCTGATGGCTTCCGGTGGCTTTGGAGTCCCAATTCCCCAGCCAGGGGCATCTCAAGGCCCTGCCTCGATGGCTCAGGCCCATTTCCCAAACGCCTTTCTGGCAGAGGGCCACAACCCCCCATCCTTCCCCTTGCTCCAGATGTTCATTCCCTCCCAAAACTGCACCGAGGCTCTGGTTACTCTGAGGGAGACCCTGGTGCAGTCTGGTCAGAAAAGCCTGCATTTTTTCATTGCATTCATTTGTTCTGCAAATCAAAGTCTTGAGCCCCCCTTTGGCCACGCCCAGTTCAAGGTCTGCCCAAGTTACTTGTCCCATCTGACAAACAGCCACTAATGACTTCTCCCAGTCCCTAGGAGGAGAGGAAAGGCGCAGGGAGGAAGCGTGGTTAGAGGTGGAGGAACTGGGAGGTTAAACGACTTGCCCCAGGCTACAGAGAAAGCTGGAGGTAGAGCTTCAAGAAGCCTGGCAAAACCTCCCATCCTGGGTGCCCCCCTCCTTCGGACCTGCAGGCAGGTATAGACGGCGGTTTCATAAGCTGACCTGCTGACACTACTGAGCTGCAAACCCCCTTTTGCTTTCTCTAGCACCCAAGTGACGGCAGCTCCAGGGAGAAGGTAGACGGATCTGGGAGCCCCTCCCACCCAAGAGAGGCCCTGTAATCTGCATGGCCCATCAGCTAGGCTTGGAAGGAAAACCCCTCTCCCAAGAAAATCCCCCTCCAGCAAATAAAGCATGAAATATACAGAAGTGACTCTTTTATTTAATATTTTAATTTCCAAAGGTCAAACTCAGGTCATGGCATAAAGGGGAAAAAAACAAAGCTCAGAAGGAGTCGGCCATAAATGGTGCACACATTAGCAGAACGTGTGCCTTTTCTAACTTCTAAGTTCCAATATTAACTTAGACACATGGAATCGGAAGATTGGCACCGGCGCTTCCTTTACAGGTGAGGAAACAGAGGCCCAGAGAGATGGCATTTCACGCCCACACAGAGTCAGTGGCAGAGCAAAGACTGGAATTCGCATCTCCTGAATCCCGGTCCATGTTCTGTTTACTGATGAGCTTGAGGTCTAATGAACCAGAGAGTTTTAAGGCCTCTGCACTCAACCCCTTACTGAGTAACTTCCAGCTAGCCCTTTAACCTCAATGAGCCTTTGCAAAAGCAAAGTCATAGTATCTGCCTTGAGATCTGGGGACAGAGGCACCAGCAAACAGCAAATTACTATTATTATTATCACCTCGTGACTACATGCTCCAGCATCCGCAGCAAAATTACACAGCCAACCCACTTATTTCTGCCTTCTAAACAAAACTGGATGGGAAATTTCATCCTAATTTAATTTTACATTAATGAAGTTTCATTTATTTATAAGCTGGGGCTGTATAGGAATAGCAGCTCCCTCCATTCATAGGTCACCAGCAATAAGACACTGCCCGTTCCGTATTTCTACCCCCCTCAACCACTGTTAAGGGCTTAGCCACAGATAGTAGTTACCGAAACAAGAAGACCCCAACTCATAAAAAGGACTCCCGTTTGGGGTGCTCTGAATGCTCCTGAGGAACACCCAAACCTTACATGGGACCCAGCCCCTGCATGCTGCACATTCACACAATTTCCAGGGCACGTGCCGATCAACACAAGCACAGCTGTGGGTTCCCGGGAAATGCTGCCAGGACACCCCATAGTAAATGGAGAGAGAGGGCTGCAGCAGGGCATGTGGGGAGAGAAAGGAGGCAAAGACACAGGAATCTATAAAGCTGTGATTGGGAGAAAGTGGAGCCAAGACGACTCCTCGCCCCTCCGAGTTCTACCACGCCAGCTTACTCCATTATCGGTAACGCACTCCAAGGAGCAGAAAAACAAAATGCTCACTGTCTCCTTCCGTGTGGAAAACACAGACTTGGTGTCTTTTCCTCACCCTCTGCTCAGATCTCCTCCTACAGTGAGACCACCCTCCCCCAACACCAGCAGGGGGCGCCCAATCCTGGGGCAGGGGCCCCAGCACCCTCTGGAGAATGTTCCTTAAGATCCTGGGGGTTGTAGAGCAGAGTTGAAAGAGGTGTCACAGAGGGAAACGAGAGCCCCCAGGAGACGTCGCCCCAGGCGGTCTGCATTTTTGTTCATGGGAATTGGTTCAGCAACCACAGCACCAGGGAAGCGTGAGGGTGCTGTCTGTTGTGCAGAGCAGCCCTGTTCAAAGCTCAGTGCTGCAGCCAGGTTGTCCCCGACCCACACCCTGCGGCCTCTGACGTGCTTCTCGGTAATGAGCCACACCAGGGACCCAGCCACCAGCCGCATCTGCATGCACAGGGCCCCAGCCGCCTGTTCAGATGTGTCGGCTCCTTTCTTTCGTTTTCCTCCTCTGGCCACTGTTCCATTTCTCACAATGGGCTCAAATAATCCTTTTTCTCCTATGAGCTCCTCCAGTTTCCAGGACAGCTGACTCGATTGCTTTCAGGACATGCACAGCCCTGGAAGAAATTAAAATTCGGAGGAGGTTGGGGAGGATTCTGTGAGCTGAGCCAAGAGAAAATGACCATGTTTTCACACAACAGAAGTAAAGAGAGACACACCTTGGTTAAAACCATAGAATGCCTGGACCAGGACCCAGCCAGGATCGGGAGATCAGGAGAGAGACCAGAGAAAGCAGTAGGGAGAGGATGCTGCTCATCCTCACATCTCGCTGAGGTTTATCCAGCAAAATCTGCAAGAATCTCTCCAGATACCTGGCAATTACGGAGTTACAGATTCCCCGTCTTCATCTGAAATGTACTTTACACTTAACAGGACCTTGGGTAATTATAGGGCAAGCTGAACCTCGCTTCACAAGATGGAGATGATGAGGTATTTTCTCCGTAACCACATTGGCGGGATTTTATAACTACTGAGGTACGTGGATTTGCCATGAAATCGAATAGTTAAAAGCAAAGAGTAATTGCCTGATATCTGTACTCTGTAATTTAGTATAATCTAATCATGGACAAAGCCCAAAAGAAAATGTTCTGAAAGCATTACATTTTTCTTCATACACAATTTGTTATTGACGTCGGGAAATGTATTACATGCCTCTAAAGGAACGCTTACCTACAGATATCAAAGCATGAGAGTGTCCAAAAGATCGAGAGTTTTCATTTTCTACCAATTATGAAAAGCAGGTGACATAACCGCCCATTAAACCCATTCTGACGTTTCTCTGTGACTGTATTTGCCCCTTTGTTGACGTAGAGAGATGAAAAGGGTGACGGTCCCCTTCCACGGGGCACTGAGATGAGGCAGCAGGAAGTTGGGCGATGCTGGGGCCATTCCAGTCAAAACTGGAGCCCAAGATGGCACCCACTTTGTCCCGCCTTTTCAACCACACTCTCCCAGTGTCCCCCACTGCAGTGTGACACCACCCGTGATGTGGTTCACAGGAAGCCCAGAATAGCTGAGAGGGATGCACGAGGCCAGTGACGAGGTGGATCAAGGACAAGACCGCAGTCCCCGAGCATCTTTAAGGACCTGATAAATGTGTGCAGGGCTTTTTGCAGGAGGAGAAGGAGAATGGAACCCACTAAAAGATTTATGGCTGTTATTATTATAAGGCTCCGCTGAGACAGAGAGAGGTCAGGACAGCAGGCGCATGGCAGCCCTCCGGGAATGCAGAGCATCCGCTGAGCGGCCCTCACCTCTGCTAAATGTGTGGATGTGGTTACTAAGTAGATTTAGACACTGGAGCTTGTTTTTCCTCTTTTGCCTTTAATACATCGGGAAGACTGACCACAGGCTGAGCTGCTCACCTTAAAAAAACCCCACAACAAAGTGATGAGAAAGGAGGGCACGCAGGGCAGCCATTGACTTTGCAACATTGCCCTTTTCTTTAAAATATGTGTGCCCATACTCGACAGGCCCAGCCAAAGAACCGCATGGAAGACATAGAAAGGCAGACTCTGAGAGGGCCCCAAGGGCCTTGGGGGCAGCTCCCGACATGAGGCAGTGGTGGCAAAGAAGCCCGGAGGCCGAGCCCTCGCGTGCTGGGGAGACACGAGGGTCAGTGAAGGAAGTGTGGAGGTGGTCGCATGGAGGAAAGTGAACAGCAATGAGCTGACTTCACAAAGCTCGTAAAAGGGCCTTGGGGGCGCAGGATGCTGATGGCGGACCACAGAGGATTATCAACACAGGGAGGGGCAGGACCGGAGCAGGGAGTTCAGGAGGCAAATGGAAAGGTCCAAGACCTGGGAGGAACGATTGACTTGTGAGGTTTTTTCTGATTGACTTTCTCAATCAGATTGTGAGATTTCTTCTCGGAGGGGGTGGGAAAGGGAAGCACTGATTGGCAAAGACGCTGTAAGTGGTAGCAACTACACCAAAAGTTTACTAAACTCAGCAAGACAGGGCCAGGGACCGCCAGAAGCCACCGTGGAGGCAGAAGGGTGGACCACAGGGGGCAAAAGGCCACTGCTGCAAACATGATGGGTTCTAGTCTAGAGGGAAGACAACCGGGTTGGGGTGCGGCTATGGGTCATTTGGCCCTAGCTGTGTGTAGCAGCAGCAGTGTCCCCAAACACAAGGAAGGCTGACAAAGCCCGCACTGGGGACCACCGCTTGGGGATGGCTCCAGTTCAGTACATATTTTTAAATCGCCTTGAGATCCATTGTGATGAAATACACGATAACTCTGCAAAACACTGTAACGTTAACTTTGTTTAAGCATCGGTTTCAAGCCCTCTTAGAATACACAGGGCCAGTATTGATGCCGAAAGGCTCATTCTTTATATATCGAACTGCACAGCTGCAAGGAATTGCACAAATGTTACCAACTCATTTGTCATGCAAACAGTGCTTCAGAAAGAAATAAAATACTATTATGTGGTATATGTGTTAGGCAATCACTATATCAAATTCATGGCATTCCGTGCAAACACAGGCAGGGAAAAGGAAAACAACACTTGGTGAGAGAAATCACACCACATGGGAGCAGCTAAGTGGGGCAAGATGGGGAGGCTAACGACGGAAGCCTGACCAAGCTGAGGCTGTAATTTTCCCAGCAATTGTGGTCAGTGTTGAATACCCCCATGGTTGAGCAAGTAGCAGGAATGCAAACCACTGGCCCACTTGCCCTGGGACTCAGGAAGGGGATGGGAGGGGACAAGGTGGGGCTGGGGGATGGGACTGCAGGGGAGGAGGGGAGCATAGGGGAAGAAGAGAACTGAATCAGAGGGGTAGAATGGAATGGAACCTACAGGCCGGCAATAAATGTTTGGGAAAGGCAGCTGATGAGGTACGTGGAAGGAATACAAAGCAGGAGAGGGAGGCGGAAGGAAGACTATGAACCATGGCTCTATTTCCACTTGCCACCACTCCCCACGCTTCCGTTAGGGGTTTCTCGCCAAGAGCCTTCATGTAATCAAATAGCGTGCCCTGTGGGAGGTTCTACACAGAACTGATGCTGCAGAGACACCGGTTAAGCATAAACACTTAGAAGCATGTGCCAGCGCTGTCCTAAGCACCTTATACAAATTACCTCTCTAATCCTCACAGCAACCCTATGAGGTTTACTGGCCAACAGGCTAGAAATGTTAATTGAATAGATCACACATCAAATGGTGGTGGAGTAGGGATTCGAGAGCCCCCAACTTAAATCCACAAGTGACACAGACTGTGTCTCTGGGGTGCTCCCCTACCCATCTCTCCTTATGAAAACCCCACCATCCGGCCACACGGCCTCCTCCCAGAAGCCTGAACTGCCCGCGGTGGCTGTGATGCGGTGTCCCTCTCCCGCAGGAGCCCCCAGAAGGCCAGTGTCTGTCTGTCCTGGGGCAGGGCCCGCACCCCCTCGGCGCTCAGTGGCGGCCACGACCTGAGGTCGGATCCGTCTCAGAACAGGCCCGGGTCTACTCCACGACCCAAACAAGGCCCCTCCCCGAGCGCAGAAGAGGACACACATCGGTCCCCAAGCTCAGAAAGACGCAAAGGATCCTCATTCGGCAGTGGCTTGTCTTTCACCGTTAAGTAATTCATCCATTAAATCCACACGACTTTACTGAGCGCCTACCACGTGCCAGGGACCGCGCGAGGGGCGGAGGATTCAGAGAGCAACACCTCTTGGTTTTACAGACGAGGAGAAGGACTGAACAAGAAGGGGAAGGCAAAAAGGAAGAAAAACAAACCAACCAGCAAACAAAACCCCTCGGACCTCCCCAACATGGCGGCCGTAAAGGCCGGGTCTGACCTCCTCATCATGGCTGGCTCGTCGGGCAGGCGCCGACCTTCTCAACATGGCGGCGCGACCGACCTTCCCGTCATGGCGCGCGGCCCCGCCCGCTCCGCCGCCGGCGGGAGCAGTTCCGGGTGCGGCGCGCGCCGGGGGCGGGCGGACGGGGGCGGCGTCCTGGCCATGGCCGGCCTGTCGGACCTGGAGCTGCGGCGGGAGCTGCAGGCCCTGGGCTTCCAGCCAGGCCCCATCACCGACACCACCCGGGACGTCTACCGGAACAAGCTGCGCCGCCTGCGCGGCGAGGCCCGGCTGCGCGGCGAGGAGCGGCTGCGCGAGGAGGCCCGGCCGCGGAGCCAGGAGCGGC